AAGGGCTGTGCCTTGCTATGCTGTGTGAGACACTGCTCTCAGTCAATCCTGGCTAATGATTTTTCCATTATTTCAAATGAATAGCAAAACCACTCAGAGGAACAAGCAAATAGCCATGGGAAGAAAGAAATTCAACATGGACCCCAAAAAGGTAAATGCATACTTCCAGTTTTCTGTCATGCAGCTGATTGATTGATCTGTTTTAACAGTTTTGTCAACACTCAGAGTAAGCCAGGGAGCTCACAGGTCCTGCAGACACTGACTGCATTCCTATGCTCCCCCTCTTGCTGCTTGATTGTCACATGACATGCAGCAGCCCAGTGGAGTAAAACAGGCATAGAGGGACAGATGCCATGTTTTCCTTGTTGTGACCTCCAGTTCTTTATCCTGCTCATGGTTCCTTTGCTGTCCTTCATTTTGTGTGACATCCAGTGGCCATGGGGTGCTTTTGTCTTGTGTCTGTGGCACACCCTGCTCAGTGTTGTGTCCACCTTGTTTTGCCTACTTCCAACCAAATTTACCCCGAGCATGGCTGCTCCAAGTGTGACAGGGTAGGTGGAGACCTGCTGCCAGCAGAAGGAGGCCTCAGTCTAAGCTGCAGAAAGCTGGGTGTCATTGAGCATCGGTGGCATGGACAGAAAGAGACAGCCTTCGCACTCCCTCATGTGGCCTTGTGCCAGGGTCCACTGTGTGCTGTCCAGGCCCCTTGTCCCAGGCTCCTCTGTGGTGTTCTGGCTGGGCCACATGGTACTTTGTGTTCTGACCCTGAGGGTAGAGAGCAAGGGCTTCCCCCTCCACCCTTCCCCCTAGGTAGCATCAGTGCCTTAAAAATTGAGGACAGTCAGAAGGTTCATCAGAGCCTGTAGGTCAGAGCTCAGCACTCACCATGTGCTGAAGGCACTGCAGTTTCAAACATTACTGAGCATCTGGGGAGACATTGCTGATCATAGACATAGGGAATGGGATGGCTATGACCCTTGCCTTCAACCCTTCATATGGATAGGGAGCAGGTGGGGTGGGTGCCACGTAACCTAGGAAAGCAAAGAGAGGATGAGACTGTCAGGGTTGGGCTTGTAATTTTCGGGAGGGTGATCAGTACGAGTCCTCAGTGCAGATGCCATCTAGGGACAGCACCATCTGCTCACCTGACTATGGCCTGAGGTGAGGCTGGTTCCTGGATGCATCCTACTGAGTATGCCCTTGCCCCTGAGAGGGCGATGTGACCTCATATCTGCTGTCAGGACTGTCGCAGCCATGGGATGTCATGGAGCTCTGGGGATCACCAGGTCAGATGCAGGAGATCATGTTAGGGGAGACAAGAAGTACAGGGACCCTGGGCAAGAATATGGCAGGGGCAGCCAGCCTTGCTGAAGAGTTGGTGAGCAGTTGGTAAATCTGCCTTGACTTATTGAGTGGAAGGAAACTAAGTCTCTTTGCTGGTGCTGAGACCCCCATCCCCCAACCATGGTAGCATGCAGGCAGAGGGGTTGTCATCCTCAACTTGGCATGGTTGTTCCATGAGCGGTCAGGCTGCCCGAAGAGGCTCAGAAGATTGATCACATGATGGAGGCCTTCGCTTCCCGCTACTGTCTGTGCAACCCAGGCATCTTCCAGTCCACAGGTCAGTGAGTCAGCTCCCCGCCTGACTCTTAACCTCTGCTTCAGCATAAAGGCCTGTGTCACAGGCCAGCCTATTCCTGGGACCTTCTTTCCCTGTGCCAGCCCAGTCTTGCCTGCAGTGTAGAGAGCCACTGTGCACAGGTTGCTGCTTTGCTCTTTCCCTGCAGACTCCACACTCCTTTGTCCAAACCCCAGCAGAGCTCAGGTTGCTGAGTCCTCCGCTGTTGTCTCCCTTGTTGCAGACACATGTTATGTGCTGTCATTTGCCATCATCATGCTCAACACCAGCCTGCACAACCACAACGTGCGTGACAAGCCCACTGTGGAGCGGTTCATCACCATGAACCGTGGCATCAATGAAGGGGGGGACCTCCCTGAGGAACTGCTGAGGGTGAGTCTGTGGGGCTGAGATTCTGAGCCCCCTCATGCTGGGGCTGATGCTGCTCCTTCCTTGTTACTTCTTAACTCTTAGAATTTGAAAACCTCCCGATTTCTCTGCAATATGCAGCACAGGTTTAGGTTCCCCCCACACACACACCTTTTTTTCCCTTTACATTATTGGGAATTAATCCAGGAGCACTCTCCAACTGAGCTACATCCCCAGCTTATTTATCATTATTATTAATCTTTTTTTTTTTTTGACAGGTGTACAGAGTCTCACTGCATAGATCTGACTCATAGTGATCCTCCTGTTTACAGACTCCCAAGAGCTGGGATTACAGGCATACACCACAACGCCCAGTCTCAATATCTCAGCTCGCCCCAGGGGCAGGGCTAATGCCTGGCCCCTGTCTGCCTAAGCAGGCACTTTAGTCTGCTGAGCTATTTGGCATGCCCATTATTATTAATCTTGATACAATGTTTCACTATTGTTGCCTTGGCAGGACTCAAAACTTTGATCCTGTTGCCTCAGCCTTCAGAATGCTGGGATTACTGGTGCGGCCACCAGGCCCAGCCAGTTTATTTACTGTGACTGCATCTCTCAAGTGTCTCTTGTTTCCTAGTCCTGCTGCTCTTTTTTTATTTGTTTGTTTTGAGGTAGGGTTTTGTTGTATAGTTCAGGCTACTCCTGAACGAATCACATAGCCCAGGCTGGCCTCAAATGTGTAGCATTCCTTGTCTCAGCCCCCTGAATGCTGGGATTACAGGCATGTGCACCGTGCCTGGGTAGTCCTGCTGCTCTTTATGCTTATCCTGCATGGGAAAGAGACAAGAGGAAGGATGACTGCTTCTCCTCTCTGAATTTCTGAATTTGGTGCTATTTTTCCACTTATAGAACTTATATGAAAGTATCAAGAAAAGGGGCCGGGGAGATGGCTCAGTAGAATAAACGCTTGCCTGGCAAGCACGAGGGCCTGAGTTCAATCCCCGGTTCCGAAAAAAAAAAAAAAAAAAAAAAGGTATCAAAAAAGAACCATTTAAAATCCCAGAGGATGATGTAAACATTGTCTGTTTTCTCTCTGTCTCACCTCAAAGCTCCTAGGCCTTCTCCTCCAATCCTTTTCTACTGTGTCCTACAATTCCCTAAATGGGGATAATCATGCAGTGTCCTCCAACCTGATCCTACTTAACTTCACATTTCTCTCTATCTATACCTCCTATCATCTTAAACATTCCCATACACAGCAGAGTAAAATTGCTCTACCAAGTGGAAAATCATTACATGCAAGTTTCTTGTACAAGCTGAATTATGTCTGTAGACATTCCTTATACTGCCATAGATATTAGGCTAATAGTTACCACAGTTTGTCAGTTGCCAGGCCATGTGCTTCAGTCTATTGTGATTGCTAACTTTATTACTTTAACCAGGATATCATACCTGTTATCAATTTTTCTCCCCTGTATGAAAACATGTTGTAAGAAGTTCATAATCATTACCATAGTCTAGTACCAAAGAAATGGTCCCTGAGCCAAATAGATAGAAACTTCATATTCTTAATATATTTGGAATTGAGGTTCTTGGGATTGATAGACCAAGAACCATCTAGAAGCAGAAGACATCGAGAGGAATAAGCATCTCCTAGGAAAACCCTGATATCAGTAAGAAGGATATTTAACATAAAAAATTTATAAGAAACAACACATAATACAAAAGAAAATAGAAAATGATGAGACAAATAAGCAAAATGCAATCCTGATGACCCAGTCAACCCAGAACAGGGCCAGATCATATAGAGACAGAAGAAATTGGAAGCTGACAAATGGAACTCACTGAAATAATAGCATCATAAGTTTTAAAAAAGTGAAAGATACCATAGAAAATAATAATCTCTAAGGTGCAAAAAGAAATGACAATCAAAATGAGAAACATTAAAGCAGACACAGAGAAACAAATAGTGGAGCTCAGGGAAACAAGGTAAAACCATGAAGAAAGAAACTAAATCAATGAAACATTCAAACAGAAATCTGGGATATTAAAAACTCCACTGAAAGTATATACAATAGGTTGAATGAAGGCAAGGAATGGAATATCAGATCTAGAAGACAGGAATGTAACTAGTGACTAGGAAAAGAAAGATATCTTAAAAATAACAAGAGACTATTAAAAAAAATCTACCCAACTGATACAGGATGGAGCAAAACAGCCAAATCATAAGATCGGCTGGAATTTGTGAGAAAGCTACAGCAGGAATAATGACCGTAAACTTCCCGAGCATGGATGAAGAATTTGACATACAAATAAATGAAGCATACTGAACTCCAAATAGCCACAAGAAAATAAATCCACACCAAGGGATATAATAATCAGAATTCCAGAAATTCAACATAGAATCAAAATATTGAAAGCAGCCAGAGAAAAGAAGCATATCCCCTATATAGCAAAACCCATCAGAATAACAGCAGATTGGGCTAGGGAGGTAGTTCAGTATAAGTGCCTGCCTGGCAAGCGCAAGTTTCTGAGTTTGATCCCCAGTACCAAAAACAAATAAACAAACAAAGAGGAAATGTGGAAGTGAGATATTTCAAGCCCTAAAGGAAAATAATTTTCAACACAGATTGATGTACTCGGTAAAACTATCTTTCAAAGTTGATGGAGAAATAAGATACTTCCACAACAAAGATAAATTCAAAAAATGTATGACCACCAAACCAGATCTACAGAATTATCTGAAGGGCATATTAGAAAGAGATAATGAATACTACAAACACATGAAAGCCACCAATACAAAGAAACCATCGGCTGTGCAAGCAAGTAAACAGAGAAAAAAGACAGGGAACAATGGGACAACAATATTAAAAAATGATAAGCCAATATGTATCAGTTATAACTTCAAGGTGCATGGTCTGAACTCAACAATCCAAGGAAAGAGACTGATAGAATGAATAAAGAAGCAAAATCCAGGGCTGGGGAGATAGCTCAGCAGTCTGAGCACCTCTCTGGCAAGTTTAAGGACATGGAGGAAATTAAAGAAGAAATTAAACAATGTATACAATTATATGGTAATGCTGATATAACATACAAAAACTTATGAGAAACAATGAAAACAGTCTGACAAGGGAAAGTTATAGGACTGAAATCACACATCAGGAAAACAGAACAAACTCAAATGAACAACTGCTAGAAAAAGAACAAATCAAACCCACAACCCATATGAGGGAAGAAATTATAAAGATAAAAGAAAATAATGCAATGAAGACTAAGAAAGCAATACAAACAATCCATGAAAAAATTCTTTGAAAGAATAAATACAACTGGTAAACCATTTACCAACCTCATCAAAAAAAAGAAAGAAAGAAAAAAGAAAAAGAAAAAAAGAAAAGAAAAAGCACACATTCAAACAATTAACAATGAAAAGGGGACAGGATACTGTGGTTCGACTGCCAGATTCTCACGCCTTATCAGATCTGCTCTTAAGGCATCTTGAGCCAGCCCAAACAAACAAACAAACAAAAAATCCTTCTCAACTTTCAAAAAAGAAAAATCTTCTCAAGAATGAAAGGGGGGAAATCATAACTGATCTCACAGAAATCCAGGAGAGAACTTATATTCTAATAAGATGGTAAACACAAAAGATATGGACAGATTCCTAGACACAATCAACTTAGCAAAGCTAAATCAAGAAGATATAGAAATTCTAAATAATTTTATATCAGTCAATGAAATTAAAAATGTAATTTAAAATTTACAAACAAAGAGCAAAATTGTATATCATTTTTAGAGTGGATATGTTGGCAAGAGCTGGAAGATATCATTAGACTCTAATAGTTTTCCAAATCTGGCACAATAAAAAAATTTAGGACCTTAATGAGATGCAGCCCTGCCACTCTGCATCGTCAAGGGAACCTTGTGGAACTTTGGTCTGCACCCCTGCCCCTGCTTCATGGAAACCAGGTTGAGCTCCAGATAGCTTTGTGGGCCTTGGAGATCCTGGCCCTGCCCCTCCCCAACAACTGAAAGAGTCTTGCTGAACACACCCCACCCCTGCCATTGGGGAGGCTTGCTGAGCTGAAGCCTACCCCTTCCCATCATTTTGGGAGCTAGGGTGAGCCCTGGACAGCTTTGGGAGTCTTGGTGAGCCTACCCTGCTCCCCCTCACTACATTGTCACAGAAGCTTTGCTGGCCCTCACCCAGCCTGCCTACCATCACCACTGAGCCAGGGTAAACATTGGAAACTTCAAATATGTGAAAATGAAGGATCAAAAGGCAATCTGAGACCTTTATCTCACTCAGAACAAGTCCACAAGACCAGAACATAGAAAAGCTTGGAAGTCACATACCTGAAATTTTGGAAATGATAGCAGCTGAAGTTAAGAAATGATTCCCATCAGGGTATAGAAAAATCAGATCAGAAATAATCTCCCCAGTTAAAAAAGAAATTACAACAATCATGAGAGAATGTCTCAGCACATCTAAAGAAGAAATAAATTTAAAAAATAGAGGAGCATACAAAAATGATGGAAACATTGAATGAACAATACATGAAAGACTTAGATGCTGATACCTGTGAACTAAGCAACTGCACTGAAAATAGCAATGTGTAATACTAGGGTCATGCTTGGAATGCCTGTCATTCTGATCTTCTAAATACATACTGCTTGTTATGTCATACCAATTGCTGCTATACTATCTCTCAAGTAAATATTTGTTTAAAAAAAGGGTAATAAATGAAAACAAAAGATAAGAAAAAAATGTCATAGAACTATCCTGCTGCAATCTTGTATATGGTTAGATTTTTAAATTTCTGTGTAAAAATATGTGATTGTTTATTCCTATTTTTTTAATTGAAAATTTTTTTTCTTCATATTCTGTAGGGATTTAAAGTTTAACATATCAATACTTGATGGAAAATACCTGTTCCATGTTATGTCTAAGGCGTTTGATATTCAGACAGATAGTGAGGTTAACTATGTTATAGGGTAATAATATAATTAAGCTTCTCTTCTGGAAGGTTAAAAACTTAAGTTTACAGACCAAAAATTAGAGAAAAAGAATGACTGCAATGACAGCCAACATTTTGGCCCTAGCCTTTCAAGGTCAGTGTGAACTCAGGACATAGGAGAACCTGTACTATAACGTCCTGTAACTCAGTTGTGTCTCACATTTTCTGATCAAGGAGATTATGGGGCCACAGAGGAAAGTGATCAATGATGTAGAGTGTGCCTAAGGAGAGTCACATGGAGAGACAACCTTCTCTCAGGCTTTCACAGAGAGCAAGTTGGTCAAGCAATGGCCGTGACTCATCCACATGGCTGACACTGACAAAGGATCTACAAACTGCAGTACAGGGTTTCAGGGTAAATCCTGAAGGGATTTGACTGACCTTGGCAGATACAAAAGTTACATTTCTTGTTAATTGGTCTTGTTTTATCTTGGTCTTAACTATCCAGCAGAAAAGTATAAAAATGAGGTATAAAAAGTAAAGTCATATTAATATGCTGAGCTGTAAACGGCTCAAGTCAACAACTTCTGACATTTCTGACATTGCCAGTCATGTGGATAACCCATTACTACTATGGACTACTGCACTATATTGGATTACTTTGCTTAATTCACATACCTACAATATTTAAATGGCAATGGAATACCCATCTCTGATAAAACTAAGTGAAGAAAAAGGGGATACAAATGAATGACCATTTTGTATCTGTATATACAAAATAGTTAGGATATATATACAGCTACTTCCTCTTAATTCAGTGAAAAAAAACATTTGTACTAATAGTGTTTGGACAGGATATCATGTCTGCATCTTGTACTATGAATAACCACTATGAAGACAACAATATGCAATGTATTAATTATTGAAACTGTCCTACTAATCAGTTTTGAAACTGTCTCATTGCTATTTGTTTTTCAATAAAATTTATTTTAAAAAAGACTTAGAATGCACGAAACAGATTCAAACAGATATCCAGGAAATTAAGAATTCCATTGAAACCTGGCAAAACCAATTAAACAAAACTGAAGATAGACTTTCAGACCTGCAAGACAGCACTCCAGCTAGCAACTGTGAAGTGAAAGATTTCTTAAAAATAACAAA